TGAATCTTCTCCAACTGAGCCTTCAACCTGCCCAGACTCTTCAAATCGTCGGAAAATAATTTGATCATCACTGTATTGTTCTGACAATGACGGACATTGATACCAGAGAAGGGCTCAGTCCCAGACTCTTGGGAGGACTTCAGAGCATCTCGAAAATCCCATATATCCGACTTGAGCCATATGTACGAACTTGCAGTCAACTTCAAGGTCAGCTCCTTCTGGTGATGCGCATATACGCGCTTGCCGCCAATACACCGAGGCTTTCGTAGATGAAGAAGACCTGCAGCTTGCGATGCTTCGGCAGGCGTAGGGAAACGGGCGAAGACGCGGACAGTTCCGTCGCTATACGGAGGGGGTGTCACGTCCCAGCCGAGAAGATCAATATTCCCAGTGATCATTCGACGAATGCTAGAAGCCGCATCGCTGACGGAGACGTAGGGAATGGGCTCCCAAACCATACCGGTTGGTTCTGCAAAGACGGACATGTCTTGTTTCTTCACGTCGATGGGCAAGTTCCAGAATTTGACTGTATAGAGGCCGACAGCCGGCAGTCCCTCGTACATCTGAGCCCGCAACTGGTAACCTCGAAATGGTTTTCGGGCGATAGCAATAGCCTTCTCTGCACGTTGGATACTGGGATATCCACCGTAGCCGATGATAGATGGAGCGTCCCAATGGACACGAACAGTGCAATCCTTCAAGATGCCGCCGGACGCCGACCTGTTAACGGACAGCTGTGCTCGGATGACCCTGCCGAATTGCATTGTATGGTCCAGGCAAGTAGAAGCATTCCGCGCGTCGATATGTTCCTCATATCTCGCCTTGACGTTTGCGCCCTGCGTATTCCGTGAAAAAGACTTGAGTTCCACCTTTCCGAAGCGACAGAGCAGTTGTAAAATGCTGCTTTCCGTCACGAAAGGTGGAAGCTGATCCACGAAAAGCCAAGGAGTTTCGAAACCGGTCGTAACGTCTAGGATGTCGAAACCAGGTCCTAGCTTGACTCTGATGTGGTCATGAACGACCTTGGTCCATTCCGATGGTACTAGGGGAGTTCGAACTGGTTGGCCATTCCGATGTACAGGCTCTTTCATAGGCATGTGAAGTCCAGGTATCTGGTAACCGGTCAGTCAAAACGCGGAAAACGTGACATTTTAACGTACCGGATCGTCGTATACGAGATCCTCGTGCACGTACTTGCAGTCGTATCCCAATTTGCAATGTCCGCGCCGCCACGCCCTACACATCTCGTTTCTTGGTGGCCGAGGATGAAGAAGCTGGTTGGCAGGCCCTTCATCAGGCAGAGGCCAGTCCTTTGACTGAATTAGCATAATTTCATATGAAGAATAGAGATGTTTACTGGAGGATCTTCATAGTTCACATCGCCGTGAAACCATGGACATGTAGGTCCACGATGACAATAGCCGCGTAACCAGTACACACAGGTTGCGTTATTCCGGGGTCTCGGATATTTAACGTCGTCATCTTCTGGCTCCTCGTCAGGAAGAGTCATTATTTCAGGAACCTGTTCGTTTTACATCAGTTCTAACACCAGAAAGGCCGAGAAAATAGTTACCGGACTGTCATACTGCAGGTCACCATGTACAAAATCGCATTCGAAACCGAGATGACACCAGTCCCTTTCCCATAGCCAACATATTTCATTAGATTTGGGATGAGGATGCTTCTCTGGCGTCGGGGCATCAATAGGTTCCTCCTAGACGACAAGTTAGATGGTTTAGTACATAGAAAAAAGACCGCACTTGTATCAGTGGTTTGTGGGTGTGACGGATATGAAGGAATTTACAGTTTTCACGCCAGCAACGTCCACCACACCAATCCCGACAAATGCCCACGGGACAAGGGCCATCTACGCCAATACCCCTCCGTTTATTGAACAACGTCTTGCTAGGATACCCACGCCGCCTAAAGTCACTCCGTTGCTTGACACCAGGAGCAGGCACCAAGCCGCTTTGGGTGTCATGGGGAACGTGATTGAAGAGTTTATCATCTGCCGAGTCGCAGTACAGCTTTCGGACGCAAAGCTGTTCACAAAATGGTACTACAAGTCAGAAGTCAAGATGCCTCCTGATTTCCTAATTTGGACACATTGCTTCGATCGTCATCAGCATCTTCCCTTAAGCCGCCACTATACCTGAACCACACGCGCTGCCCACCACATGGCCCGTACAAAGCAGAGCATCAAGGCAGAGGGCGCTGCGCTGAAAGCCGCCCGTAGGCAACAAAACGAAGAAGAGAAAAAAGCCAAGGCGCGAGAGGCATCTCGCAAGTCTATGGCCAAGTCCGTGTTCAATTCTTTTCTTCCGTTCATCCTACTCATTTCAACCTCCCAGGAAGCGCGCGAATCGCACGCCACAAGAGAAAGCGGCTGATCGTCAGCTTCAAAACCAATACTCGGCCAAACACCGACGCTGGAACCGCCTCGAGATCCTGAAGGCTGAAGACGCGCGTCGCCATAGCGATCCCGATAAACCGTGAGCACACTCTGTGTTGAATGTGCCGGATGTACTCAGGATTCCTGCAGTAAGCGCAGGCGCGTAGCACGCCTTAAGCGTATCCACGACTACCCCCATAAAGACTACCAGGAACATCAGCAGCTCAACAAAGCAAAGAAAGCGAAGAAAGCGCTCTGAATGCCAAATTACCCAAGGGCTCAAAGAATGGATCTGGGGACCGGCATGCGGAGGAGCATGGGTCAGATCAGTCGAGAGGAGCATGGGTCAGATGAGTCGAGCGAGTTGGATCAGTTGCATTGCGAAGAGGAGGAGGGCGTCAGCTATCTGTGTGTCTGAACTTGCACCTCATATTGTGTTTGTATGTCCTCAATTTGTGTAACTTTTTGAGCATGTCTTCTGTGATAAGTTAACATCTCATTCAAAGTGCTCCTACCTTTTGTTCCTCTTACCATCTCCCGCCGTGGCACACCTTCTCTCCTTGTTTATCTCCTCTCTGTCTCTCACCCTGAACTTTGGAACAGCAGCGTTCATGTCCAAATCGAATGGATAATATTAAGGTCAACCCCAGATGAGAGCGACTACCTATGATCATTTACTTCCACGTGTTTCCCCACTTAGCTCAGTTGGTTACAATGCATAAGAACAATCAGTTTGTCTTGTTTCCTTGTCAGGCCGCGGGTTTGGCCTCTGTTATCGAACAAGCTGTCCATTCCAAAATTCAGCAAAATCGATTCGATCACCCACGTGCGGAGTTCAAAAAAAACAGTTTCGTCCCGTCCTGCGACCTCCTAAAACAATGCTAAAGCATCTCCCACCCGAGATTGTGCGCTCCATCGTCGATGAGGTCGCAGTCTTGGACTTCCAAAGCTTGTGGTCGCTGCTTCGCAGCGGCCCAATATTTAGTCCCCATTGCCGCGTTTACCTCTACACCCAGATTGCGCTCAGACCTACCCCCCTTTATGTGTCTCAGAGCACAGACATGCGTTCACCCTTTACATATCTACGACTACATATATGAGCACATCGTGCTCTTTCTCCTGCTGCGCCACTCCTTCCACCTCTACATCCAGATTGGGCTCAGACCTACCCTCCCTTTATGTGTCTCAGACATCGTCCCTTTATACCTCGAGGACAGAGTCCTCTTTCTCTTCCTGCGCCACTTCTTCCAGCAATATGTGGGTCTTGTTATCTACGCCCTGCGCCGCACTTTGTCGAATTCCCTTGTTCGTTGCTTACCCCGTTCGCCCTTCCTCCTCATTCATGGGCTTCTTACGCAGTACAACACGGACTACGACGTCAGTCCATTTGTCGAAACGCTGACCGTCACTTTAACGGCTGTTGATGTTCGACTGTTCTGGAGGAAGATCTGTGACATGATGGCCAAGTTTCCGCGCCTGCGCGCCGTTGTCTTTTTAGAATCTCCGCCATACCTCTGGCCGTACGAGCCTTTCACTGGCTTCTATAACCATCTTCCCCATCCTATACATTGAAAAGCATCAGGTTTTCCCGCTTTCAGATGCTCTACTGGAAGGACTTGCTGCACATCTTAGCGCTATACCCTAATCTTCAAAAATTAGAGGTTCACAAATGCCATATAATCAAGGAGCCAGATACAGTGCCATCAGCCACCGTGCAGGTCGCATTGCAGGAGCTTATCTGCATAGACACACACCAGTTTCTGAAACTTGTCGTTGACTCGGTAGCTCATCCCATTTCCTTTCGCCAGTTACGCAGGCTCGTTCTTAAGGATAGATTGGACTCACCTGCTGAGGATCTATTCCAGCACATCGGAGAAACAGTGGAAGAGGTTGTGGTATATGAAAAACATATGAATCTTTCTGCTGGTAAGCATGCCTTACATCCTTTTCGCTCCCATATCTCACGCGTACTCTCAGATCCCTCCTTCTTCATCCGTGTCCCATCTCTTATCATTGTTCTGCCCGCCGTTGCTATAACCGCTTCCTGCGGTTTCTTCTTCGAATTATGACGTTGCCTCAGGCAGGCAAGCATCGATTGAAGAGGTTGGCCCTCGTGGTGGACTGGAACGCGGAGCGTCCCCGCTGGGACGTTATTGCTCAGATACTAGATCAGTCTACCACTCCACTTACAGTCTGCATCACTCTGGCTGGTAACGCGGATGACACTCAGCACATAATGACCTATTTCGAAGGTAGTACGCACCAGACGCGTATTCAGACCGCAGAATTTGGTTTTGAGCCACGTAGTGTTCACAAAGAGCCCACTGAATTTTTGTATTACTAGAACTACGTCGACACGACAATTCCATTGTATATAGCGCTTTCTTGTGGTTTCTTGGTAGGTCGGTCTTGGACTATCATCATACCCAGGCACACTACGAATTTGAGCAAAACTTTCTGAGCGACCCATTTGAAGTAGGCTCATGAATACGTTGAACTAGATATGTGCAATAGATTCCCAAAGTCAACAGGCAACTCGAAAGAGAGAAAGGCAATGCACCGCAGATATGAGAGCGACTGCCTACGATTACCTCGTGCGTTGAATAATGCCTACTTAGCTCAGTTGGCTAGAGTGCACAAGAAGCATTTGTCTCCCTTCATATGCACTTGTGAGGCCGCGAGTTCGAGTCTCGCAGTGGGCGTGCCAGTAGCTCTTTCTATTTTTTAATCTGGAGGAACTGGACCAATCTTCAGACTAGTAACTAGTTCCGGCGCGTAAGGCCTTGAGTAACTTAGGGTGGCGCAGTAAACCTCCGGGGGTCTTAGTAACCGTATGAATGGGGCCCCTAGTTAGTAACAGTTTCGATACCAGCACGTGTTTTGCACACGCGATGTGGCGCACCGGCTCGCCCCCCTAACCCACTCATCTCTTGGCGGCCAAGCTTTCAATACCGTATCAATACCGTTAAAAAACCGCAGTAAACCCAGTAAACCCGAAGTGTATCAAAACCTAGGGTTTACTTGACCACCCTAGAGTAACAGGAACCAAATAGGAACGGCAAGCCTTCAAGCCTGCTTAGCTCAAATGGTTAGAGCACCACGATCACATACAGTTCTCTCACGCGATGATGATCTCGGAGACACCGTTCGAATCCCGTAGTAGGCGTACAGCCAGCTCTATCAAACTTTTTTTGGACTTACGGCTTGCATTAGGGTGGGGAAGACTCTAGGGTGGACCTTAGGGCGGTGGTATTGATACCGACCCCGCGGCTTTAGTTTTGAAACCGTTTCTAACGGTTTCGATACCGGCACGTGATTGTGACCACGTGATGTGGCGCAGCGGTGCGCCGCTCTCATCCCGCCCTTGTCCCGCCACTCGCAGCTTCTCTGAACGCCGGCGCGCATCACGTGCCGGTATCGAAACCGTTAGAAACGGTTTCAAAAGAGATCGATACTTACCTCCCGACCCCCAACAGTTTCAATACTGTATCAATACCGTTAATAACCGCAGTAAACCCGAGGTGTATCACAATCTAGGGTAAACCTCCGGGGGGTGCACATCTTATCGTTATACCCTAATCTTCAAAAATGAAGTTTTATATTACTATATCACTAGAACTATGTTCACACAACAATTTCGATTCCCACAGTCAATAGGGAACTAGAAAGACTGAAAGGCCACGCACGGCAGAGAGTGAAATTACACCGTTCACAAGGCAAGGCCCTACCTCCAACTTCCCCGCGTTCTTTTACAGACAGTGCGGAGCTCCGGTCCGTTGCATTCAAGTAGGTATCAACCTGACAATATTCTGAGCGCTATGGCGCAAATGAAATCAATTCGTCGTCAGGTCAATACACGCGGAAAAATTGTACATAATGAAGCGCATTTGTCTCTCTGACCCCTACTATACATATCGAATCAACGTCCTACCCTCTGAAAGGCCAGATCAGTACAGTGTCATAGTTGAACGGAAATCGAACGACTCACTCCATATGGAGATCCGTATACCCAAGCCTCTGTCTTGCAGCCTTCGAAACTCGATGAAATCGCCATCGACAATGTCTTCTATTGAACACTGCATCCCAAAACAGTCTAGTATCCGTCGCTTATCATCTCCCCCAGACGAATATCCTTCCAGATAATAAACAGAAGCAAGCGCGCTGGTATAGTACGCAGGCTGCATATATGACTCCCTTCCCAAGATAATGTCGACGTCTTGTAGATTCGTTCTTGTAGACGATGCGCCTTCCCCGCATTGGTATCGAGTCTTCAGAACGTCGATGAGGGTGCTCTTGACCTGATCTTCCCAGATGGAACGATCTATTCTCGTCGCAGTAATTGTTAGCACCCGTAGATTGGGCAGGATTACCCGGTCCGAAAGACATTCGATGACTCTGTCTAGAGGACATTCTCCGTGGCAGGACAACTTGAGGTCTACGATCCCCCCAATGCGCTCAGTGCTGCTTTAGGTGAGAAGAAATATGATCTATGATCGTCAAAAGTGACTTCTCCACTCGTAACTGTGCACCCCGAGCGCTGTACGAATCGTTGAATAATTTCCCCGTCGGGCTGGTCTTCGCGTGGACAGTGGATAGATAAGCACGTGAGCGCTGGGCATTGGATGTGATCCAAAAGCGTTATGTCAACGGTGGGAGTCATATCGATGAAGGACAATTTCGAATGGGAGACGAAGGGATGAAGTCCAGAAGTATTCGAGATTTTTTTCTTCCGATCATGTCGCCGCACATGAGCGTCATCCTTCAATGTCTTCAAAAGAGGACAGCAACGGAGCAGTTCCTGACATGAAAGGATGTCGTCGAGAGGAACGCCTAGCTCTGTTAGCTGCCTCCATGGGAATTTGATTCTCGATAGGTTTATGCTGGTGGGGGCGGAGGTGTGTATAATGCCCAGGGTCAATCACTGCAGCTGCGGTACGTGTCTACCAAGCGATGAAATTAGACCATCGTAGGTCTCTAAGTCATCGTGGCACACACGTATCGTCAGTCCAAGTGCCACCAGCGACTTCATTCTGCCAATCTTCAAAAATGGTTCGAATACGTCAAGAGCGCCTATAAATGACGCGTCATACCAGCTTTCGGCGGTTTTGACAATAGCTGCGACTTGTGTCTTTTTTAGACTGCCCAAGGGGATATGAAAATTGTTGCGCTTTCCAGATTGCAAAAGGGCGCTTTCGAAGAGAAGTTTGGTGTTGACTTTATGACCACACCGTCTCTCCGTTACGATAAAGGTGGTCCAGAGACTCGGGCACGACCGAGCGGTTTGTCTCCACGTTCGGCAGACTTTTCCCAGCAGCCATGGACCACTACGCGAGGAAGCGAATACGTTGTACGGCTTTTCAAACGTGAGGTGAAAGATTTCAAGGAGGACCTCAGGTGGAAGCTGGTGGATGGGAGGAGAGAGCGCAACGTGCGCATCATGATACGCAATAATGTTATCCCTCTTCTTCTTTGCTGCAGCCAGGGAGGACTCGATTTTCTGGATAACACGGTCCAAGTCAGCTATATCCGCTTTGGCATCTGCGACTACATTGCGAATTTCGACTCTGGCATCATCAGTCACGAAGAACGTAACGTTTGTTCCTAAGTGGGCTTGAAAGGGAGAGGGAATGGGAATTCTGGTCGGCGTCTTGGTGGCGGGAAGGCGGCAGTGGGGGCATTCATGCGACATGGTGTCTATAAGATTATGATAAACGCGAAGGTTTTATGACCGTTGTACCGCGCGACTATTTGAACTCACTCGATGAATGACGGATGTTGCTGGCCTCCTCGTCAGAGAATTGTAGTGGATCGATGGCGATGAGTTTCGTTCCAAGTCCACGTGGGAAAGTCTGGCCGCACTAGGGGTAGCGGGAATCATGCACATGAGAGTGAGTACCTACCATTACCTCGTTGAGGTTCATAACGCCTGCTTAGCTCAGCTGGCTAGAGTGCACAAGAACCTTATCTCTCCTTTTCTCTGGACTTGTGAGGCCGCGAGTTCGATTCTCGCAGTGGGTATCCCCATTCGCTGCAGTTATTGCCTTTTTGAATGTGAACAATTACGATTTAAATTCTTTTTAGCGGGCCGATATCCGTGCTGTGGGTGTCAGCGTTCAACGTTCATCGGCACCTCCTCTAGTTGTGCTGGAGGTGGTTGCGCCCTCTACCAGGTTTTCGCCCCATGAAGGCTGCCGATCGCACGCGCCAAGTGCGTCAGGGTGGTGGTTTCGGGATAACCGCGTGGTTGTTCCGCAGCGGCTTGTCCTTGAACGACGATGGCGCTCGGGACTACCCACGACGAGCATCTTCCTCGCAACATCCGTGAAGGCGACGCGAGCGATCCCGCCACTCCGTACTGGACGGCACTCAAAGCCGTCCCACAGTCGGTGCTGCAGCGCATCCCGGAGAACATGGTGCCGCCGCGGGACGTTTTATCGGCGCACTCTGTTTTGACATCCTGCCCCCACTCCCGGCGAGCGGCATACCTGACCACACTACCGCAACTGCAGAGTCTGGAATGCCTGCGCTACCTTCGCCCGCATTATAAGGTGGCGCAGAGCGGAGGGCGCATACGACTCTTCCAGTTTTATGCTTTGCTCGATGACTTTTTATGTGAGCATATTGGTATCTTGAGTATCGAGGAAAGAAAGGTGCGTTATATTAGGGTCTAATTTACTGTGGTAAGTTAATGTGTCCCGCAGATGTATTCTTTCAGGCTCGAGACCAATCGACTGCTATGCGGCGCTCTTTACAGCCTGACGCCGCCGCCGGCAGTGGTGTGCGGCTTTCAAGAGTTTTGTCCGGCCGACAGCGACAGCGCCTGGCGTATAATGGCCCGGTTTAACACTGCGGCTGCGTTGCAGGAGAAAGCTCATGAGTGGCAGACGCGGTACGGCGACGACGACACAGAAGAGGAGGACGAAGAGCCAGAGCAGGAGGAGGCTGAGTGTCGCAGATGGGTCGATCACGTCGAGTGTTTCTTGGCTGGGGTGAGGATGATGAAAAGCGTGCTGGACATCCGGTTCCGTGCTTTTGCACCAGACCATGAAGACCTTTGGGACGCAAACACGTTACCGGCGCCAGTCACCGTCGGTCATCTCGCTTCGTGGGATAGGCTACCGCATGACCCCAGTCCGGGCTTATACCACGACGAAGTGGAGAGCGACGCGGAGTTGGATCATACCGAGTTCGAGTTGGGGTTTTAGGCTAAGCACCCAACGTTACATGGCAAGTTACTGGTACTAGTATTCACACCTACTTCATATCCCACTACCAAACTCTCTGCCGCACTGCACCATGCTGTTTATTTCTTCCTTACATCTCCTTCTCCTGTACATTTCCCTGTCACCGCCGC